TCTCTCTAACCCGGATTGTATGTGTTGGAATATGGATCATTCCTTGGTTGATTGTGGCTTGGAAATCCAATGGCATTTGCACTCTCCCATCCCCCATTCTCAATCAATTGAGGGCACCTTTCCGAAGGGTGTCCTTGGATAGAACATACACCACATACAATTGGTCCTTGTATCTTCATTCCTTCGGCCATCTGAGACATAATAGAAGTAAGATTAGCTAATTGAGATTGAATATCGGATTGAGAACTTACCTCATTCAATTGTTGCCGTGGGGGGTCCCTTTGCCCAAGTCCTTCATATTGTTGTGCATTTAGAGCACGGTTTGCAATTAGGGTCTTGGCTGCCATAGGAGTTTTGTCCACCAATGCACCTCCCGCCGAAGCATCGAGCATTTGCCTTTCAATGGGAAGAAGGCCCTCATAGAAGTATTGAAGGAAAAGCTCATCCTTCATTTGATGTTGAGGACATGATGCAACAAGGGCTTTAAAATGCTCATAGTATGCCGGAAAAGATTCTCCTTGACTTTGTTGGATTCCGCTAATTTTCTTCCTCAAGAGAATGACTCTTGAAGTAGGGAAGAACTTCTCCAAGAACGCTCTCTTCATGCTTTCCCAAGAAGTCACTGTCCCGGGTGCCAATTCATAAAGCCAATCCTTAGCCTTTTCCACAAGAGAGAATGGAAAAGCTTTCATCTTCAAAATATTCCCATCAACATTAATGGGTGTCATGCTTGAGCATACAACTTCAAACTCCTTCAAATGCTTGTTTGGATCTTTCATGGACAGCCCATGGTACTTAGGAATATGATGCAGCAAGCTTGACTTCAATTCGAACTCATCGGTCTTGCCTTGAGCCGCCCTAGGATATTGAATACATAGGGGTGCGGCATTGTCCAATCCCGAAGCGGAAAGCTCCTTGATTGTTCGGTTGTCCGCTGCCATGTCTACTTCACCCACTCTTGCCGTGGGTTTCTCTTCTTCAGATTCAGAAACGGACTCGGAGCTTTCACTTGATTCGCTAGGTTCTGGGTTCTTTCTCTTTCGTCTCAATTCTCGCTCGAAATCGTCGTCAAAGTCCGAGATATGTTCACGAATCGGATGAGAACTCTGAGTCATAAAATAGTACCTAAAACAAGAAACAAAACAAGATTAAGAATCTGGAATAAAATAAAAACAAACGAAAATAAAACAATCCAAGAGATTAGCAAAGTTGCTAATCCCCGGCAACGGCGCCAAAATTTGATGTGAGAATTATAAGCACACAAATTAACCCTCTTTTTATCAGTTGTAGTGAAGTATGTAAGTAGGGATCGTTCTGGATCGGGGATTAGGAGGGATTGTTAATCACTTGGATTTGACTCAAAAACGTAAAAACACAATATAAGACACCAAACTAGACCCAAAGAATGCAAAACTAAAGTTTAAAACACTAAGACAAACCAAAAGACTCAAAACAACAAGAAAACATTCAAAACTGCCTTAAAACTACTTTCTGAGCAGTTTTAAGCACTAGAGAAGAATTTGGACGAAAATAGTTATAACTTGACTCAAGATACTCTAAAAACACAAACTAAATTGATTTCTAACTAATTTGACACTCCAAGTAAAGGGGGATTTTGATTTTGACGAATTTGGAAACAAAACTTAATACTTTGTAAAACGAACAGATTTTAAAAACGAATTTGATGGAATTTAATGGATGGAATGAAAGCTAACTAAGGGGTTCATCTCCACACATGTTATACTTGCACACAAAACGAATTCTAATTGCTTTTCAATAAACCATGAATTCTCAACGCCCCAGATTAACCGTGATTGCACTAATTAACCCTAAGATTTTCCTAACGTTATTGAATTGGATGATTGCATGCGACAACCCAAAACATTCCCCACAAGTCCCCTACATGATTGCATAATAGAGATACAAGCAAGACTCATTAAGTTCTTTGAAAACCATAAGCATTGACGAAGCACTTGTTACTATGATTGCATGAAACTTATGCCAAGAATTTACTTAACGCGATTGAGATCATCAACCTTTACTACTTGTGAATATAATTCCATAACGATTAGGTGAAATTTCATTATATCCTAGCATCCAATTTATGCATGATAATTAATCGTGCACTCTCAACCAACACACACAAATCAATGTGATTCACATAGATAAGTAAATTGAATTCACAACTTATGAAACGCAATTAGAAGTAATCAAATCATATCGCAAGCATAAACATGTATTTCGAATCCCCCCCTAGCCAAGGGGGGTTTAGTTCCTCATACGTACAAGACAAAGATAAGTAAATTTAACCATTGAAATCAAGGAGGGGAAGCACCTAAAAATTCCAACAACTCAAACTTGAATTGTATGAACGTTTAAGCCCTCTTCTCCTCCTCTTTGTTGCTGCACAAGCTCTAAGGAAAGGTTTTGGGGTGGTGTTTGTATGTGGAATGGAGTGGGGAGTGGTTGAAATGGAAGGGGATGCACGGCAAGGGGAGAATGGTGCTGGAATTGGAAGGGGAAATGCTGGAAATGAATGTGTTTTGCACGGCAAAGAGAAGTGTGATGGTGTGTTTTGGAATATAAAAGGGTATGTGAGTTATGGCTGAGCTTGATATGAAAAAGGAAGGTGTTTAAGTGGTTTAAAACAGAAACAAGGCCCTTCCTTGCACGGCAAGGAAGGGAAACACCAAGGGACACACGGCAAGGGTTTTAATGTTGCAAGGGACATTGTTTTGTGACCTAGAATAGGTAGGAGTCCTTGATATTGCTCAAACATAAGATCTTTAGGTCTTCAATTTCGTCCATTCCTTTTGCTCCAAGCATATGCTATCCATTCCAAGCCCAATTTTGCTCCAAAATGCACCTTTTTGCTTCCTTAGCCATATGAACCTAGAAACACACGAAAATGGCATAAAGGACTAAAATAACTAAAGAAACACAACGTAAATGCATGAGAACAAGCCAATTAAGTCGCATAAATATGCTCCTATCAAGTAGCTTAAGCCATGGTTTGCTCTTGATATCACGGAGGATTTGGTGGATCGGGATAGAGAACTTAGAGTAGTTCTTGAGCGTCGGTTCTTCTTTGGTCGTGGGTCAGTCCCTACGCTTGGCCTCCTGCCTACTTTTGTTATTGTACTACTTCATGTCCTCCTTCTTTTAAGCTACTGTTGATTCTCTTTAAGGCTGCTCGAGTGCCTTGTCTGCTCGCCGAGCTTCGTCCCAAAGTGCATGCTTCTCTGCCAAAGCAAAAGAGTTTGTCAAAGTTAGATCTTCTTTCATAATTAACTCTCCTAACTGTGGGTGGTCTGCTGAAACTCCTTTTTGGAAGGCTACACTAGCTATTGATTGTCAACTATCTTTGCCTTTTCTGCTTTGAACCTCTTCACATAGTTGCGGAGTGATTCCCTTGGTTTCTTCTTAACATTGAACAAATGATCGGACTTTTCTTGATCGAGTGGTAGAATGAATACTCTTTGTGAAAACCAAAGAAAGTTCATCGAAACTCCGAATGGATTGTGGCGGCGGGGTGTGGAACCAATCTTGAGCCTAGCCTTGAAAATAGTGGCAAATATCTTGCACATAAGAGCGTCATTATTCCAATAAAGGACCATTGTGCTTTGGTAGTGCTTAAGGTGCCTCTCCAGGTCTCCATCTCTTTTGAAGGATGTGAAGTGTGGTATGCTAAATTTATGTGGAGGCTCTGCCTGCACGATCTCGTCCGTGAATGGTGAATTACTTATGTTGGTCATATCCCGTCGTAATGCCTCATCAATAATCTCGTTGCGTTGGAAATCATGCAATTACTCGGTCAGGAACCTCTCTACTTCTTCCTGAATTTGCCTTTATTGGGGTAGCGAAGCTCTTGGCTGCCCTCGGTTGTGACTTACTGGTCTCGGCTGCTCTTCCATGTGTTCCGCTCGTCTATGCCGCTGTTGCGATGCATGTGGTTCGTCCATCGTGCTGCCTACTTCGATATGAGGTGGATGATGTTCTTTGCGGGCCTAACCGTGATTGAACACTTCGCCTGGAAGGTTGCTTATGTTGATTATCGGAGTGTGGTCCTAACCGTGAATGGATGCTCATCCGTGGGCCTAACCAAGAGTGCACGCTCCTTTGCACACTAAGACGAGAGTATACGTTATCTCGGGGGCCCAGTCAAAAATGTGCCCGAACATTAGGTTCATGGCTGGTCGATGGGCTGCTTGCCGAGACATTGCTGGAGAGGTTCGTTGTCTGCCCTTGTCCTACTACTTCCAGACACCTCATCTGGGGCACGTTGCATCTCGGTGCACTACAAGAGCTGATTCACCAAGGTTGTCTGCTGCGCAAGGACGCTTGTCAACTCTATGACTTGTCAAGACAAGTGTTGTTCAACATTTGGATTGGAAGAGCTTGGATGGTATGCGTCTCCTTGAGTAGTGGAAGTGTAATGGACTCCCTGCAGTGTTTGTAACTTTTTGCACATACCTCCCCCTAATAAGGACTACAATTTCAAATTTTCTATAGTAATCTTTGATTTAGTCTCATGTGCAACTATAGTTAAATTTTTCTTTTTGCTATCTGATCTAAGAGATAGAGAGACGAAGTTGATTGGGTTCATTCAAGTTTTCAACATCATCATCATCGCCATCGGGACTCTGTTGTACATGTGCTGCAGAGCATTCACATTTTCTTCTTCATCTTTTTCTTGTTCGTCGTCTTCTTCTTCATAATAATGAACGAAAAGTAGGTAACGTGCTACGGTGACCCACCAACTTTAGGTTAACCGTCTTTTTCAAGATTAAATTTTATTAGACGGCCTACTAATCAAAGTGGGGATCATTGGATTAAAAAAAAAAATTAACTTTGTAGTTTGTACGTAAAGCGCGTAAGGGATGACTTGTGAGCTGTGACTTGTGAGCTTTAATAAAAGATATGAATTGATGGTGATGCATCCTTATTTGTCTTTCTTTGTGAACGCATTGAATTTTTGTTCACGGAAGGTAAGGCTTTTTTTTTTTTTTTTTTGGTCAATGGAGAGGTTTTTAACAATATGAAAAGTATTTAACCATTTGAAAACATTATCTTGCTCATGGGGTACATGGAATGATGCTGCCTCACGTGGGATGATGCTCCCTTTCTTTGCTGGTTTTCAGTTTTTTTAGCATGTCTTTGCATTTGTTTATTACAAGTGTATCTCCTTGGGAGGCTTAAAGCGCTGTGAAAGCGAGAGGGGAGCGGTGTGAGATAATAAAGAAACGTGCTTGGGAGTGGCGTTTGCTCACTTTTCTATTCCTACTGCCCAACCAAACCCATAAGAAACCATCTCTCTCTCTCTCTCTCTCTCTCTCTCTCTCTCTCTCTCTCTCAAAATACTGTTGTATTTGGCCAATGACTGATGAAGATTTTAGTTGTGCAAAAGAAGAATAATGCTTGGCTTTTCAAAGTTGAAGAGGAGTTTCTCCTCAAAACACTTTATATTTCATTCACAAAATTTCGTATATGTAGTCAAAGTTGTTCATCTTATAAATAACTTTGAAAATTTCATTTCTTAAAAATATCATTTTAAACTAATGTCATTTAGCTAATCAATTATGGCAAATAGATTGACAGTTCATAATATTTTAGCCGAATTTGTCTATTTGTAGGTTGTGCACTCGTTGATTTAAAAATTCATAGGCTTCAGATTGGTTTTATCTAATTTACTGCCACTATGACATTCTAAACTAATAATGCACTAATAAGTTCATTATCTAGATACTACGATGATGTGCCCATGTAGGTTAGTCCTAGTTGAGACTAAATTGAATTCTGGTGTGATTGGTAGTGGTAATTATTGTGTCATGCCTTGTTATGGTGAAAGCAAACTAAATAGATCTTAGACTCTTAATAGTAACCCATTAATAACTCAGTAGATTGATTTGTCACATGTGGTCGAAAAGACAATTCCAAATCTTAGGTAGTCTCCAATAGTGAAGGATTATACTTTTATGGCTCGTTTGTTTGACCTCTTTAGCTAGGATTGGACTAGCTAAGACTAATAACCCACGTTTGGCATGGCTATGGACTAAGTTAAATGGGACTAACTCGGACTCACATGGGCTACAGGCCTCATTAAGTCGTCCTAATTAGTCTGACCCAAAAGCATGGGATTGCTAAGAACCTCAATATGTTGCCTTCCCTCGCCGTCTCCTTCGCGTGAATTGGTGGGAGCGAATCGTTGTTCTTCGTCAAAGCTATTGATCCTTTGGTGAGCTTCCAGAACAAGTCTCCTCTCTCTCTCTCGGATCGATATAGGAATCGGGGGATGAAATTGATAATTAGAGCTGCTCATGAACTTGGTCAATTTGCCTTAAAATTGATAATTATTTCTCTCGAATTGAAGAAGAACCATTTGGCTATCCCTTTTTTCCATACTAATGTTGTGCCCATTGGATGCAGTCAAGAAATTCCAATAAAAATTTTCAAAGCTCTTGTTGAAGCTCTACCATGTAGCTTGACAACTGTGTCCTATTTCTGATGGGTGAGTAGATCGGGGCACGGGAGGCTGAAAAAGCACTGCCCAGATGAAGATTGAAGACAATGGAACAAATTGTCAAATTCCAGTTTCGTCAATTTTGGAGGAGAGAGAGGATAAAACGGTGGTGTTCTACTGGATTTGATCTTTTATTATTTGTTCTTTTTATTAGTTTTTAATTTTTCTTTTGTAAAGCAAGTGTGGATTAAAAATGAAAAGGAAAAAAAAAACGATTTGAGTCCTAAAATATTTTATTCTATAATTTAATCCAGTAATGTATCAAACACTTCACTATTTTTATCCTCTTTAGTCCAAGTCAAGCTAGTTCAGCTTAATCCATAAGGCTAGTCTAGTCCGAAATAATAGCAAACGCACCCTTAGCCCTCTATAATTTTGTAGTGTGAAATTCCCTTGTTTTAATTTTTTTATGAATTAGAAAAAGGTAATTAATAGAAAATATTTGAAGAAAGAAATTTATCATTAGCTAAGTTAAAAAATTCGCAATTTTGTACATAAAACGCGTGAAGGAGGCCCCATCCCACGTGCGCCAAAGGATTGGAGATAATTTAACGCGTGCATGTGATTCGCCTTGGAAAACAATGCATACTTTACATTGTTGTATGCAGTAGAAGCGCTCGGCTGACTGCGTCCTCCACTAGCACAAGGAAACTTCCTCGCATCAGGAGGAGCTGGATTTATTCTTAATTTCACCGTTATTTCTTTAGTCCTCCACTAGGCATATATTATAACTTTTTCTTCCGTTTGAATGCAGATAGATTCTGCGCTGAAAGCGCTTGCAATTTCGTCTTTATATATATATATATATATATATATATATATATTTTTTTTTTTTTTTTTTTTTTTTTGTCTATTCCTCGATGATTTTCTTGTATCATCGTCTCTGCATATATTTTATTGAAAGATACATCACAGAAAACGTTTGGACAAGTTTTTATTTTAATTAAGCATATTTAAAAGAAAATTTTGAAGTGGTAGCATTATCAATTATCAATATTTTTTTAAAGTGTGTGAAAGTGACTTCTTGGCTCTCCCTGGAGCGTTTGTAACTTTGTCCACATACCTCCCCCTAATAAGGACTACAATTTCAAATTTTCTACAGTAATCTCTGATTTAGTCTCAAGTGCAACTGTAGTTAAAATTTTGTTTCTGCTATCTGATCTAAAGAGATAGAGAGACGGAGTCGATCGGGTTCATTCAAGTTTTCAACATCATCATCATCACCATCGGGACTCTGTTGTACAGGTGCTGCAGACCATTCACATTTTCTTCTTCATCTTTTTCTTGTTCGTCGCCTTCTTCTTCGTAATAATGAACAAATAATCAGGTAACGTGTTACGGTGACCCACCAACTATAGGTTAACTGTCTTTGACAAGATTAAACTTTAAAGAAATTTAACAAAAAACTCCCGGTGCTGTTTACTTTAACGAAAATCTTATTTTTACACTAAAAAATCAATTCCGATACAATTCATTTTATCTTTTATTTTATCGTTATCGTTAAAATTCAAAATTTTTAAATATTTTTCATTAGTTTTCTTTAAATTTTATTGGATGACCTACTAAAGAGGGAAGCATTGGATTGAAAAAAAAAGTTAACTTTGTAGCTTGTACGTAAAGCATGTAAGGGGGTGACTTGTGACTTGTGACTTGTCAGCTTTAAACTAAGGGAGTTTTAACGAAAAGTCTGTAATACTGTTCACTTTAATGAAAAACCATATTTTTAGACTAAAAATATCAAATCTAGTACTATTCACTCTACCTTTTATTTTGTCATTATCGTTAAAACTCAAAAGTTTGAGGCCATTTTCATTAGTTTTCCTTTAAACTAATTCCTACGGGATTTAGATCCTCTCCTGAGCTCAAAAATATGAGCCTCCTGACCAAATCAAACGGACCATTCGATTTTGATCCAACATCTACAAACAGAAGATTTCTCTAAAGTTATAATAATTGAAGCAGTTTGATCCAAATCCAATGATCAATGTGATTTGATCAGGAGACTTAGATTTTTTAGCCCAAGAGAGGATCCAAATCCATTCCTACGCTTAATCGGGGTCTCATAGCTCCTATGACCTTTCACTTCACAGCTTGATTAATGGGCAATCCACCACTCATTTTTCTTGTTTACTTTCAGGCTAAGTTATGTGCCTGGTCTCTCTCTCTTGTTTCATTTCATCCTCCTTAATTCAGAACTAGCCAAAAAAAACAGCTTGGAAAAGGAGCAACCACGATCCAGCCAAGTCCTCCCCTCACACTGCAAGCCTCCCCCTTGATCTCTCTTCCTTCAGTTTACTCTTCTTATTGGGTCGATATGACTCCTGAAATCAAGTCTATTGAATGGGAAGGACTTTGCTTTTCAAAATCAGACTCAACCAAAACCGGCTTGGATGTCGGCTTTATTTTTTTCAAGTTTGATTTAAAAATTCAAATCCGTTTTATCTTCAACCACACTCAGAATTGCCACTTCTACATTCTATACTAATAATGCCTCAGCAAGTGCGTCACCTTGACGCAACACTGACATGCCGGGTGTTGGTTATTCCTTGTCAGATTAAATTGCTTTGGATGCTCTGCGGGTCAAAAAATGAAATCAGTGGACGGAATAACAAAGTTAAATTTATACCGAAAGCGCGTAAAGCCGGGAAGGGGGCCCTATTGGCAACTGTGTGCTTGCCACTACTCCATAAAGCGCGTAGTAGCATTATCAATTATCAAATATTTTTTAATTAAGTGAAAGTGACTAATCCTTGTCTCTCCCGGCAGCGTTTGTAATCTTGTGCACATACCTAACAAGGACTACAATTTCGTTCAAAAAAAAAAAAACAAAAACAAGGACTACAATTTCAATTTGATCTACTCTCATGTGCAACTGTAGTTAAGATTCTCTTTCTGCTATCTGATCTAAGAGATAGAGAGATGGAGTTCATTGGGTTCATTCAAGTTTTCAACATCATCGTCATCGCAATCGGGACTCTGTTGTACATGTGCTGCAGACCATTTTCTTCTTCGTCTTCATCTTCTGCGGCTGATTCTGATGTAGCTGATTCTACTGCTGTTGCTGATGATGATGATGCTGATATTCCCCCACGTCGAGAAAAGTATGATGTGTTTATCAGTTTCAGAGCTGAGGACACCCGCCTTACTTTTACCAGCCATCTTCACGATGCCTTACTACAGAAGAAAATTGAAACCTACATCGATAACACACTTGAGAGAGGAAAAGAAATTGGACCTGCCCTTCTAGAAGCAATCGAGAAATCCAAGATTTCGGTGATCGTTTTCTCACAAAACTATGCTTCTTCCGCGTGGTGTTTAGATGAGCTTGTGCATATACTCAAATGCAAGGAAAGATATGGCCAGATGGTTATACCCATTTTTTACCACACCAATGCTTGGGATGTACGAAAACAACACAGGAGTTATGGGGATGCATTTGCTCAACACCAAAAACGTTTCAAGGTGCACAAGTGGAGGGAGGCTTTGGCGAATGCAACCAGTATATCTGGGTTTCATCTTTCAGAAAACGCCGGGTAACAAACTAACTCTTTAATTAATGTGTATAAAATTATAAATTTTCTTTAAACTTGTGACGACTTGATTTATGCTAAGATTTTGTAAGGTATAGTTATGACTAACTATTGCTTTCCTTCATAATCATATATATATACATATGCCAGGATGGAAGCCGATTTAGTTAAGGAAGTTGTAAAAGATATTTGGACCAAATTGTGTCGCAAATCATCCTGTGATTTAAGGGGCTTTGTTGGAATTGAAAGCCGCATTGAGCAGATCGAATCGCTATTAGGCATCCATTCGCCTGACGCTTGCATCACTGTAGGTATTTGGGGCATGGATGGTATTGGCAAGACCACCCTTGTGGAGGCTCTATTTCACAGACACTCTTCCAAATTTGAAGCTTCTTGTTTTGTTAAGAATGTTAGGAAGAACTCAGAACAAGCAGATGGACTAGATCGCTTGGAAAAAGCACTTCTTAAGGAGATATTAGAGGAAGAAGTTCTGCCCAGAGGATCAACTAGGGTTCAAAAAAGGCTCAGCCGCACAAAGGTCCTCATTGTTCTAGATGACGTGAGTGATTCAATGCAAATGAAACGTTTAGCTGGCAATCGTCTTCGGTATGGCACTGGAAGTAGAATCATTATCACAAGTAGAGACAGTCGCACACTCGAGCAAATTGTTGAAGATGATAAGATCTACGAGGTTCAGGGATTAAAAGGGGATGACGCTCTTCAGCTCTTTTGTTCGCGTGCTTTCAAAAATAACAGTGCTCGTAGAACAGATTATAAGGAATTGGCAGAAAAGGCGGTGGATTATGCCCGAAGTGTTCCTTTAGCTCTTATAGTTTTGGGGTCCTTGTTCTTCAATTGCAAAAGAAAACAAGACTGGGAAAATGAATTCAACAAACTGGAACAATTTCCCAGTGAAAGTATCCAAGGAGTGTTGAGACTAAGTTATGATGGATTGGAAAGACATGAGAAGGAGATATTTCTGGATTTAGCATGTTTTCATCAAGGGAGGCATGTGGATATGGTAAAACGAATGTTAGATGTTCGTGGATTCTTTGCGAGAGCCGGAATTAGATTTCTCATTGATATGTCTCTCATATCAACTGATTCAAAACAGGGAAGGGAAACCATAGAGATACATGGTTTGCTTGAAGAAATGGGAAGGACAATTGTTCGAGAGCAATGTATTGAAGATCTGGGTAAACGGAATAGGCTGTTCACTGATGAGGATGTCTATCATGTACTGAAGTATAAAAGGGTAAGAGCCAAATGCATTCAATTTTTTTCCTTTTCTTGTTTTAGAAAAACAAATAGCGAACTTTAAATGATAACACACCAAAGTAAAAATCATTTATAACAAAGAAGTCAGATTCTTAAAAAATAATTTGATTGAATTTTTATTATGTAAGTCTTTGGAATAAAACAACAACAAAGCATTTTCCCACTAGGTGGGATCAGAATCTTAGAACGCCATTGCACTCGGTCCTATGATACGTCTTTCGTTAGATCCAACTACTTTTAAGTCTTTTCTTAGAGTCTCTTCCTAGGTCTTCCTCTACCTCTTCGGCTCTGGACCTTTGTCCCGTAATCGCATCTTCTAACCAGAACATCAGTAGGCTTTTGTTTCACATGTCCAAACCATCGTAACCGATATTCTCTCATCTTTCCTTCAATTTCAGCTACTCCGACTTTACCTCAGATATCCTCATTCCTAATCTTATTTTTTCTTGTGTGCCTATACATCCAACAAAGCATTCTCATCTTCGCTACATCCATTTTATGTACATGTTGATGCTTCATTGCCCAACATTCCGCGCCATAAAGCATTGTCGGCCTTTTTGCCGTCCTATAAATTTTTTTCCTTAAACTTCAAAGGCATACTACGATCACATAACACGCTGGACGCACTCTTCCACTTCATCCATCCAGCTTGTATTTTATGGTTGAGGTCTATCCAATTCTCCGTTCTTTTGCAAGATAGATCCCAAGTAGCGAAAGCAGTCACGCTTTGGTACTTCCTGGTCTCCAATCCTCACCCTTAACTCATATGGGCCTCCAAGTGCACTGAACTTGCACTCAATATACTCTGTCTTTGACCTACTTAGACGAAGGTCTTTAGATTCCAACACTTCTCTCCAAAGGTTAAGCTTCGTATTTACTCATTGAGTTTCATCTATCAACACTATATTGTCTGCGAAAAGCATACACCAAGGAATGTCATCTTGAATATGTCTCGTTAACTCATCCATTACCAATGCAAAAAGGTAAGGGCTTAGAGATGAGCCTTGATGTAACACTACAGTTATGGGGAAGCTTTCGGTTTGTCTTTCATGAGTTCTTACGACAATCCTTGCTCCATCATACATACATTTATAGCTTGGGTATATGCTACTCGTACTTCATTCTTCTCTAAAATCCTCCAAAGAATGTATCTTGGAACCCTATCATACATTGTCCAAATATATAAAGACCATGTACAAATCCTTTTTCATATCTCTGTATCTTTCCATTGATCTTCGTAAGAGATAGATTGTCTCCATGGTTGAGCGCCCTGACTTGTACCCGAATTAGTTGTTCAAGACCCGTGTCTCTTGCCTTAGTCTATGCTTAATTACTTTCTCCCAGAGCTTCATTGTATGACTCATTAACTTAATACCCTTATAGTTTATGCAATTTTGTACGTTGCCCTTATTCTTGTAGATCGGCACCAAAGTACTATTTCACCACTAATTTGGCATCTTCTTCGTTTTCAAAATCTTATTGAAAAGATCTATAAGCCATGCTATACCCGTCTCTCACAAGACGTTCAACACTTCGATCGGTATATCATCTGGACCCATTGCTTTTCTATGCTTCATCTTTTTCAAAGCTACAACCACTTCTTCCTTCCTAATTCAGCGGTAAAATAAGTAGTTTCTACTCTTCTGAGGTACTCAACTCCCCCAAAGTACTCCTTTCATGTCCTTCATTGAAAAGCTTATGAAAATAACCTCTCCATCTATCTTTGACCACTTTCTCTGTAATAAGAACTTTCCAGTCTCATCCTTGATGCACCTCACTTGGTTTAGGTCCCTTGTCTTTTTTTTCCCGTACTCTAGCTAGTTTATACATATCTAACTCTCCTTGTTTGGTATCTAGTCGCTTATACATATCGTCAAAAGCCGCTAGCTTAGCTTCTCTCACAACTTTCTTCGCCTCTTTCTTTGCTATTCTATGCCTTTCATCGTTTTCCTTGGTCTTATCCTTGTATAAGGCTTTACAATATTTCTTCTTAGCCTTAACCCTTTGTCTGTACCTCCTCCTTCCATCACCAAGATTCCTTTTGGTGTGGAGCAAAGCCCTTAGACTCTCCTAATTCCCCTTTTGCCACTTTTCGGATACAACTAGCCATGGAATCTCACATTTGGTTAGCTTCCCCCTCCCTATCCCAAACGCATTGGATGATTACTTTCTCTTTGAAAATGGCTTGTATTTCTCCTTTTAGATTCCACCATCTAGTCATTGGGCACTTCAAGGTCTTGTTCTTTTTTCTCTCTTTTGATATGTACATCCATCACCAACAAGCGATGTTGGTTAGCCAAGCTCTCTCCCGGTATAACTTTGCAATCCTTACAAGTTATATGATCCCCTTTCCTCATTAGAAGAAAATCTATTTGTGTTTTTGATGACCCACTCTTGTAGGTGATTACATGTTCTTCTCTCTTCTTAAAGAAGGTGTTGGCTAAGAAAAGATCGTATGACATTGCAAAATCTAAGATGGCTTCTCCATCCTCATTTCTCTCCCCAAAACCATGGCCACCATGAAAACCTCCATAGTTGCTTGCCTCGTTGCCCACATGACCATTTAAATCTCCTCCTACAAATACCTTCTCCGTTTGGGCGATTCCTTGCACCAAGTCTCCAAGATCTTCCGAAAATTTCTCCTTCAAACTCGTATCCAACCCTACTTGGGGTGCGTATGCACTAATCACATTGATGAGTTCTTGTCCTATTACAATCTTGATTGCCATAATTCTATCTCCTATCCTCTTGATATCTACAACATCTTATGTCAAGGTCTTGTCCACGATGATGCCAACACCATTTCTCGTTCTATCCGTGCTTGAATACCAAAGTTTAAAACCCGAGTTTTCGAGATCCTTTGCCTTAAGACCAACCCACTTAGTTTCTTGTAGGCACATGATTCTTATCATTCTCCTCACCATAACTTCCACTACTTCCATAGATTTTTCCGTTAAGGTTCCTATATTCCACGTTCCTGAACGCATTCTACTCTCTTGAACTCTACCCTCCTGTCCTAGTTTCTTCACCCTCCCGCGTCTAATAAGGTCCAAGTACTTCTTTTACGTGTCCTGTGTAAAGTTGATAGGAGCATATGCTTCCAAACAACCTTGAGTGGAGTCGTTCAAAAAGAAGTTTCTATAGCTCCCTTTCTCATTTAACACTGCATCTAGGCGCCAATGGAGATACAGCGACCCTAGCTCACTTATCATTGTGCTCGGGCCACACAACGCGCCACTTACAGGTGATGAAGCTTTAGTGCAATTTCGTTTAGGATTCATTATCATATGGATTCAACGTAACCTAGGAGTACTAGCTGTCGACTACCTAACGCCCTCCCCCTTCTCCTTTATCCGGGTTTGGGATCCACAATGTAAGATAAACTTACACTGGCGGAATTGTAAGGAAGTATTTGGAATATGAAGAAATTTTTGTTATTCAAACAACTAGAGGAGGATACACTTATTTTATTACAATTATCTTGGATATTTTACGGCACACTTGTACATCATTACCATCGCAAATACTCTAAATTATTCTATAACGTTTTAGAATTCTTTTTCCAAATGCGTATTACATTTTCAAATGTTGAAAACATATATATTCACATTTAAACTTTGTTCTTATTGTCAGGAAACTTCAATTGTTCAAGCCATACGGGTTAATTGGTCTAAGATTGAAGAGCAACCATTGAAACATGCAAACTTCAAAAAGATGTCTAACCTAATAATGCTAATTGTGGACCATTCTGGAATATTTGACTACAAATTCACCGATTCTCTAGACCTTCCCGATTCTCTTCATTATCTTTACTGGTCTGAATATCCACTGGAATCTCTGCCGTCAAAATTTTCTCCAGAAAATTTAGTTGAGCTTCATATGCCATATAGCCAAGTTCAGAAGCTTTGGAAAGAAGACCAGGTATATTATTAATGCCTATTTTAATTCTTGTATAAAATCAAGTGTAGAAATTCTATTAATTCTTTATATTTCTATTTCATTTGTTGCAGATACTTGTCAACTTACAAGTTATCGATCTGCGTGACTCCATACATCTAACAGAAGTTCCAAATCTCTCTCAGAGTCTAAAAATTGTGGAGATATATCTCTGGGGCTGTAAAAGTTTGGTTGAAATTCCTTGGTATTTTCAACATCTTGACAAGCTTACTCATCTTAATCTTGGAGGCTGCAGCAGTCTCAAGTATCTTCCAGAGATGCCAGGAAATATTCAATACTTAGATTTACAAGAAAGTGGTATAAAGGAGTTGCCTGAATCAGTTTGGTCTAACGAAAATATTTCTTACTTGAGTATTAGTCGTTGCAAAGACCTTGAGAAACTTCCAAGCAACAGGTGTAAGCTTAAAGTCTCTGGTAGTTTTGATCTAGATCAATGCACATCTCTTGGCGAGTTTTTTGAGCTTCCCATGGATATAAGTAGCTTAACATTGTATGGTTGCGAGAGACTTGTGAGTCTACCAACCAACATTTGTAAGTTGAAATATCTCGAGGAACTCGATCTCTTTAGGTGCTCTAAACTTGAAAACTTCCCAGAGATCTTGGAGCCAATGGAACATTTAGAGTCCTTAAATTTAAGTGGAACAGCTGTTCAAGAGCTACACTCACCATTCGAGTTTCTCCCTGCTCTCAAAAGAATTCAACTACATGGTTGCAAATGGCTTTCAAGTATCCCAAGGAGCATTTGTAAATTGAAATATCTCGAGGAACTCGATCTCTCTTGGTGCTCCAGACTTGAAAACTTCCCAGAGATCTTGGAGCCAATGGAACATTTAGAGTCCTTAAATTTAAGTGGAACAGCAATTAGACAGCTACACTCATCAATTGAGTTCCTCACTGCTCTCAAAGAATTTAACCTCAGTGGTTGCCAGCAACTTGAGGTTTTCCCAACAAGCATCTACCGTTTAGCCAATCTTAAACGTCTCTGCTTGTATGGCTGTTGGGCACTTCAAAAATTGCCTCTCACCTATACCGGTTTTCTCTCTTTAGAAGAACTAGATCTCAGAGACAGCGGTATATTGGAAATCCCTGATGGTCTCGTTTGCTCAACCTCATTGAAAAGCATATATCTGTCTAGAACCAGGATTAGGAGCATACCTGCAAGCATCAAACGAGCTTCTCGGTTGTCTAAACTCAACTTAGTCGGCTGCACGCAGCTTCAATCTTTGCCAGAGCTCCCAGTGCTATGTAATGTTGAAGCTGAAGGCTGCACGGCGCTGAAGAAAATGGCAAGTTCATGGACAGCACTCACTTGTCTGCCCAAGAAATAAGAGTGACAAACAGGCAAGGCTCTTATTATTTTAGTATTGTTGATACATTATAAAGCCCAATGTTATAGACAAGTGTGTGTAATATCATGTTTGTTATCTTTGATCAAGTCCAGCGGCATCTTGACATTCGCCTTTATAACATAAACTTAGACATTAATTAATACGCCAGGCAGGGCAAAGTAAATTTCTCATGACCAAGCGCGGTAGTTTGAACATTCGACACTACAAAATTCGCAATGGTTCGATAGCTGAACTGCAATGAGTGAAAAGTATGAATGCCCGATTGGACTAACACCGGCAAAACAGAATGTTCTTGTTTGAACAGAAGAAAGATCAGCAGAACAAATTTTATTAAGGGGATAAAATATTACAGCAAATTAAGGTCGAAAAAAGAAAGGCACAGCTCCATTTTAATAATACAATCATCAAATTTGTAACAACGATAAAACTATAAGGGTCATCGCCTCAATAGGACTAGAAACATTCCAAAAGTACGGAGAAAAATTATAAGCTAAAGGAAAAAATAATGGAGACAAAGCGAGATGCATACACAAAGAAATGAAATACAAAAGACACATTACAAGCACAGTGATTTCAAGCATAAAAGATTGGCCACGGCCCGTAACACTCTTGATAGAAACGCTTGGAACGGAAAATAGCGGACACAAACAAAGCAGAGCAACTACCTGACTAAAATGCACTCCAATGATCAGAGTCTTTTTTCGGAGTCTCCAATGAGATTCGGAAAGGCCCTGAAGACCCAAATGGGTACGAGTCTCTTCTTAGAGTTTGACCGTCGAATGATGTCCTAAATGGAGGGGACCCAAACGCGTCCGAGTCTCCTCTTGAAGTTTGACTGTCGAATGATGTCCTAAATGGCGCTGCTGAAGACCCGAACAAATCTGATTCTCTTCTTGGAGTTTGACTACCCAGTGACGTCCAAAATGGACCTGAAGATCCGAAGGGGTCCGAGTCTCTTCTTGGAGTTTGACTGTCCAGTGATGACCTAAATGCCGCTGAAGAGCAAAACGGGTCTGGGATGTTGTCAAATGTTGGAAAACCATGACCCTGATAAAAATCTCTACTGCTGCGCATAGAATCAAATCTTCCGAGTGTTTCTGGTTGATGAAAAAATCCAGTATCTTGGGTGCTTCTGAACGAATCAAACCTAGAGAAGGTGTCAAATGAAGGTTCTGAACTATCCTTGTTCCTTGGCGGTGAATATCCTAAATTGAAGGCTGAGAGTGGTGTGCTAGGAACAGAATCGTCGAAAGTAAAAGGGCGACTCTTCTGCGAAAAGCCACCTCCTTGTGATGACCCAGTCCTGATTGAGTTGAGGCCGAACTCCCCAGGGCCAGAAAAGTAGTGATCCTTATTACTCTCTTGATCCATATCCTACATCACACATGATTAAGAGCAGTTCCAGCACAATCCAGCATGCCAGCAATAACAACAAATATAAAATCACAAAAACAAAAAGTTTGAAAGTGCTATGTAACCGACATGCTATTAGAAAAGAAAGTGGATTCACTGAAACCTAGAATCCATGCCTACTTGGAAGGTGCAAAATAATGGAAACTTTCCATCGGCTACAAAATGTTAACAAGAAGTGTGTCTAACATCACAATGAATGCTAGTTTTTTAACTTGAAATTTAGCTTTCTTTTTTCCAGTCACTATTCTTAACAATGATTAATACATTGATTAACCTGGAAAACGTCAATATTCAAAAAGTGTGCGCAATATTGCACCATCTCTTGTCAACGTCAAGTTGTCAACACAAAAATGATCTTGACTAAAATTAACCAAGACCTAAGTGTTGAATCAGAGTCCCCTTCAATGTGCAATTAATTGCACCACCAACAATCCCTCAACCCACTTCTTTTTATATCTACAGTGAACCAAAACTGAAATCAGGAAACTAGGTTTCGCCATACTTGGTTAAAATACCCGTACTACTAACTGATTTACATGATGCAACCATCAGAATGGTGAAGATAGAAACTATTCAAATAACGTTAAAATTCCCAGAACCATCTTTAATAACTAAACAACTCAGGTAGCATTAGGACACTTGAGGCAACTCTTAAAACAAGGATAAGTGGTGGTCACCACCACAAAAACTAGGCGGTATTAACAGCAATCATGGAGCAAGGTTCGGTCAGCATAAACACAAGGTCAAAGAATTGAGTTCTAATAAATAAATACTGAATGCACTCTAAAATACCAAAAAAAAAAAAAAAAAAAAAAAATTACTGATTGTACAATATCGGCTTACCTTGGTGGTACTAACTGCATTGAAACCCCACAGCGAGTCAACGTCATCATTAGTGTCAAATGTCCCCCATGCTGGTTCTTCGGAACCCTTGTCGCCAGAAAACATAGACCTGGCACCCACATGATCATCCTGCGCATGAAAGTTTAGAATATCAACAATTTTGCACGTATCAGGGTGACCCTAAATATGAAAACTACAGATCTAGAACTATACCTTCGAGATTCCTTATTACGGGGTGAGGCGTCTGCGTCTGTTGTCTTTCCGTAGTTTGAAAATTCTCTAGATGGGCTTCCAACAGTACCGCTGGCAAACGGACTGTTCAGAGCACTTTTTGCTGACTCGTCCTCATTTTTATCATTGCTGCTCCATTTTCAACAACCTTGGCATCCGTACTTTGAGGCTTTTCTGACTTAACATCAACTTTAGGGGAAGAAGCAGTTGCTGGACTCTCAACTGGGGGAGCTTTTTCTTTCTGAACTGATGATGATTTCTGTTTTGGAGGTGCCAAGACATTTGACACGTCAAGACTGAGCTCCTTGACAAAAGTGAATCCTGACAATTAAACTTCTGAATCAGTCACCTCGAATAGTTAAAACTCCTAAACAGGTTAGCAAACCACAACCAGACGACAAAAACTATAAAAAGCAGGCAATATGATCCATTTACCACAAGGTGAAAAGGTAAAAGGAATCTAAAGTGCTAAAAGAAATTTATTATCTCAGAGACAATACTGGACCTATAATAACTCATTTTTGGCATACCTTCGTCTTCAAATTTATCCCAATCCTCATCCCAGTCAGCAGCTCCTTCTTGGATGCCAGATTGCCAGCCTATATGAAAATAAAATAAAATTTCAGATTACAAAATGCAACGTAGTACAAATACCACAGCAGTTAACAATAACAAAAAAGAAAATGACACATTCATGAAAGCTACATAGAATACGAATATTGATAATCAAACAAAGGGTTTCTGTGTAGGATATTGATAATTTAACAATAGAATGACTTTCGGCTTCTAGAAAGGCAATGCTATTAATATATTGAAATAATTTGACTACCCAAAGCAAAAGTGTATCCAAAAACAATGTGTTCTATCTACAATCCATCAGATAGTTAGATAAAGAATAAGCTAATGTAAGTACTCTTATCGTTATATATAATATTCTTAGATTCCCAAGAAATTATCTAAGGAAAGAGATCACTTACCAAAGGGAAGCTCAGTTAATGTTGTAGGCTTTCAGCGTAATCCGTACTTCTTGCAGCGCTCATTGAGAGTTTTCACAAGCCCATCAAGATCTAATTGGATGCAATCAACACAATCCTGAAAATTTCAGTTGGAAATGATCTTAGACAAGTTGATCAAAGATATTTTTTAAACAGCAAGGTTGTGCAAAGGTACCTGAAATGGAAAACCAGCATCACCTTCTTGGTTCATCTTGACAATTGCCCTGTATAGCTCCATTTTCTTCTCCTGCATATAAATCACATAAGATAATCAGTCCAGTGATAATAAAAAGAATACACCGCTAGGGGTATGACCATTCAACTGATCTTATTTTCCCACACTACTTTCTCTTTGTCATCAGCTATCTATCCCAACAGGCCAAAAAACTATTAAATAATTCTTATTGTTTCTCCAAAAAATAAAACGTCCTACTCATACTTGTTTTTGAATTTTGATTGGCACTTATCTCATAAAAATAAAAGCACGCAATCTCACATCACATGTACAGGTAATTATGACTCAGATCTAAGAAAACAAACAGCGAGCATTTGACACCTTGATCTTCAAATGAGCAAAAGCAAACACACAACATGGGGTCACTAATTGTCCACAAATTTATATGTGGTGAAAGGTATCGGTAAATCACGAAACATGGCTTCTTCAATAGTCAACTTGGAAGCTACATCTCCAGCTTGTTTGTATTTCTCTTCATATTTCTTAGCCAGGGACTCAGCCTAGATTCATGTAGTATTCAGTAAGCCAAGACAGTAGGAAAAGATTAATGCAAATATGTGCTTAGTCTACAGTATCCAACAGCATACCTCACGTCTCTCAGCAGATGCCCTTTCTGTGATCTCATTTGAGGCGATTGTCACATCTGCTCTAATACAAAACCTTATACCAATAAGAAAATATATTTGAGCAAATATAACAAGGTATACATTATATTTCAACACCACACCCTATATATGTGAGATTAAAATAAAGCACCAGCATTCACAATTATGCAGAATCAGCATTCAAAAACTGAAAGTAAAACATAATTTCCTTATGCTAGTAGCTAGATACAAAATTATTACATTTTTGAGTCAAATGCCTTCTAAAATATTTTGAGCCTAAAGGAATATAAAATTATCTTGTAAGAATGTGGTCTTAATTTACACACATGATAAAATATTCCCATCCCCCAATTCCCCGTTCAACCAAATTTGGATCTTTATTTCATCGCCATTATGGTGCATACGAAGGAATGCTTTATTTCAAACAGTGCAATCTCTTCAGCTAAGTTGTCCCCACCTTAAAACGGACGACAATGAAAACTAGACTACATGAACATTTCTTCCTAATACAGGACCTTCAACATAAATTAGAATATCCAAAAACAGCATCTTCCCAATCAAAGAATATGGCTAAGGAAATATGGATCATGAAATTGAGAAAATACTGAGCCAACGTGGTGAACAAAATCTAACTTTATTCCATAACTACTCCTCACCCCAAATATATAGTTTTCAAAAACCCTCGTGTTTCTCTCAAACCAAGAAACCCCAATAAATTGCTGGCATATTGCACCCTCACAAAAGCCTTCATATCACCACCAAACTACATATGTACCCTGCATGAATTACCCAGCTTACATTTCCTTTCCTACACAATCTCAGCCACATATATGAAGCTATAGGACAATGATAAAACACGTGATCTGCACTTTCTCTCAAGAGTACTTGTCAATTCAAGAATCAATACTAATTCAGACCACAAACATCCAATTGTTCAAAAAAGCATCTTACACCACCACAAAGATCAAATACTAAGAAGTCTTCCGATTATTTAAAAGCAACAAAGGATTAGGACGTCCAAAAATCCATCAATCGTAGAACAATTATATTCAAACACCAAAATTAAAACTACTGTAGAATGATCAATATGCACAACCAATGGCATACAAGAAAGAAAGGGCTAAAAAGAACACGAGATACTCACAAGTTCCTGCATTTTGACCCGAAGTATTCAATTCTCTCAAGCATCCAAAATTTCTTTCTCCAGTTCTTCTACCTGCGAAGAGCAAACGGAATCGCATCAAAAGGTTGAGGAAAAACAAGCTGAAAAAGGAACAAAACTGCAATAAAGTATAATAAATGCTGTATCAAAAAGAAAGTATAATGAATGCCATGCACTAAAAACATGAGGAATGCCAATCATTGAAATTACTAATATCAAAGAAGTGATCATGAACTTCAAAACCCTAACAGCCTCCCTACTTAAACTTGATCAAAATCTTTTCCACTGAAATGAGCGATATTAAGAGCAAAGTAAAACCCACAATCACAAGAATTCCCAGTCTTTGGGATATATTTTATGATTTGACATTTATCAGAATGTAACATGCACACATCACATTGCTGCTGAAGCTGAAAAAATTGGGGAAACATTAAAGTTCTAAGTACCTTTTTATCAGCTTCGGTTGCTTCTTTGAACTTTGAATTCAGCGAGTTAACCTCATCTGTACTCAGTTGATTTACAAGATGTTTCTCCAATTCTGGTACTCTGGGTTTCTGCTGATTGGCCTGCTGCCTTTCCACAGCATGAGAAGGAGCAACTGGCTTCGGTGGCCTTCCTCCAGCTGGGGGCGCCATGTGCCGAGCACCAGGACCAGGCATCGGTTGCTGTTGTTGAAAGCCTTTGAAAGTGAAAAATAAGAAACTATTCTCCACCAGAGAAAGACATATGGTTTCAAAAAAAAAAAAAAAAAAAAAAAACAGAAAAGAAAAGAAAAAAGTGATTATGGATGAATACCAGATGCAAGTCTCCAGGCTACATTACCAGCACTGGAGTAATTATTTGCAGGTTGAAAAATATGGGATAAATCAAACATAACATTGCTTGGTAGCACTGCTGGAAGAGGGCGTCCCTTCCTAAACCGCTCCATCAAATATAGCGCAACACAAAACTCCCTGACAGAAAGCATGCTATCGTTGTCCTGATCGGATAAATCCCACACCTGCTTTAAAACCTCTGACAGATGTAAACAGAGCATAAAGTTAAGAGTGGGGGAACTTATAGCTTCCAAAAGTTATGTTTGTGGTCTTACTATATAGGCACATAACTGTAACTATGGACAGTTTCCATGCCTGTACTATCAGCTCGAAGAAGTGCACTACATGAGCTTTTAACACACCCTGAAATTTCACATGCAATAACGACATTCGCTTTCAAGATAATGTGGCATGATGGGTAGTATTTATGGATGTTTGTATGTCAATTTTCCGGTAAAAAATTACTCCATTTCCAAATGTAATTTTATATCTACCAAAATATCTATGGCATCAAGTAAGTTTTATATCAAAATACAAACACATCACAACGAATGAACATCCAGCAGCAAAGCATCTCGCAGAAAAATATGCTAGATCTAGCCTGTCATGTTCAGGAATTCATGCTAAATGTCACCAACAAAACATTGTCAATCCACCACCCGGAAGAGGAAAAATAAACAAATTTAACTACGGGATAGGGATAGTACATGTTTTGCAAAGATGCATAAGTTTAGTTACAAGTTAACATAGAAGAGAAACAAACAAAAGAAAAGAGCTTCAATAACCACATGGCACCTGTGCCTGTAAAACGCAAGCTAAAAGATGAATTCAAAGAAAATAATACAACCTCTTGGTAGTCCCCATTTCAGAAATAGGTAGCGGTCTTCTTCACCAGTGATTTTCCCATCTCTATCTGTGTCAACTTTCACAAAAATATTGGTGTACTTCTGACATCAGTTTGAGTCATCCTAGGCCATAACATATGGGACTGACTAGAAGCAGCGTTCCCAGCTCCAGGTGAAACTCGTAGCACTAGTCTGAGGAGCTGAGACCTGGTTGTTTGCTTTTGCAAATGACTGGGCCGGCTAAGGCTGCCCACCAACCTGTGTACTTGGGCTAGCTGAAGACTGGGTCCCAGCAGATACTGGCACAATGGTTGATGAGACGGGTACACTGCCAAGAGGAAAATTCTGCTTTGGTTGAGATGGGGTTGCAGAAAACACATCGACTCTAAAAGATGAGTAGGGAGAAAAGCCATTCCCATGAGAAAGCCTTGGGCAGCAACACCCTGTGTGGGCTGGGAATCAGAACTAGATGGAGGCACTGGAGGCCTAATTGACTTGCCATCTTGAGAAATGAAATTTTGCTGGTTCACATTCACACACTAATCCCCTGAACCCAAGATTCTGGTAGGATGTTGGAGTAACAGCACCGCCCTGAGTCATTGTTGTAGCAGAATTAAACTGAGACCGTATTTGTGGTCCCCTGAACTCAAGATCTTGGGAGGACATCGGAGTGACAGCACCACCCTGAGTGGCAGGTGCTGCTCCAAAAGAACTATACTGAGGTGGTATTTATGGTCCCCTGAACCCAAGATTTTGTGAGGACGTTGGAGTGACAGCACCACCCTGAGTGGCAGGTGCTGCTGCAGCAGAATTGAACTGAGGGGCAGGAGTCGCTGCAAGATTATCTTGGGTGCGGGTATTTTAGCTGCAGCCGGGCCATGTAATGCTGCCTTCACCATTTCTGGCATAAGTTCTCTCTTACTTTGTGCCACCGTGACAAGTCTAAGGGCATTGTAAAACTCTGCCTGACCAAGGAATCCAATATGCCTCTGGTCTGCATGTGCCCATATCTGCCAATAAACATAAGCAACCAATATAAATTAGAATAGATCCAAACTTCTGTTGCAAAAGGATAATGAGAAAGTGCATTCATATAATCAATATTTAACATATAATCCATCTCATGAGATTAATCTGGATTACTCCTGAGACTTGAATTTCTTGGTCCAGTATACTAGTTTGAATGAGATAAATAACAGCAACCATGGAGCAGGATCCGGTCAGCATAAACACAAGGTCAAAGAATTGAGTTCTAATAAATACTGAATGCACTCTATATACAAAAAAAATTAAAAATAATTAAAAAATAAAAAATAAAAAATGTACAATATCAGTTTACCTTGGTGGTACTAAATGCATTGAAACCCCACACCGAGTCAACATCATCATTAGTGTCAAATGTCCCCCATGCTGGTTCATCGGAACCATTGTCGCCAGAAAACATAGACCCAGCACCCGCATGATCATCACTGCACATGAATGTTTAGAATATCAACAATTTTACACGTATCAGGGTGACCTTAAATATGTAGAAAACTACAGATCTAGAACTATACCTTTCAGATTCCTTATTACGGGGTGAGGCATCTGCATCTGTTGTCTTTCCATAGTTAGAATCTGAATATTCTCTAGATGGGCTTCCAACAGTGCTGCTGGCAAATGGACTGTTTGGAGCACTTTTTGCTAACTCATCCTCATTTTTATCATACGCTACTCCATTTTCAACAACCTTGGTATCCGCACTTTGAGGCTTTTTTGACTTAACATCAACTTTAGGTGAAAAAGCAGTTGTTGGACTCCTAACTGGGGGAGCTTTTTCTTTCTGAACTGATGATGATTTCTGTTCTGGAGGTGCCCAGACATTTGACACATCAAGAGTGAGCTCCTTGACAAAAGTGAATCCTGACAATTAAACTTCTGAATCAGTCACCTCGAATAGCTAAAACTCCTGAACAGGTTGGCAAACCACAACCAGACGACAAAAACTACAATCAGCAGGCAATATGATCCATTTACCACAAAGTGAAAAGGTAAAAGGAATCTAAGTGCAACCAGAAACCTATTAGCAGATGCCATATGTCTATAAGCAGGCAATATGCTCAAGTATCCTACAGCATACCTCACGTCTATCAGTAGATGCCCTTTCTATGATCTCATTAAGGCAATTGTCACATCTGCTCTTTTACAAAACCTTATACCAATAAGAAAAATAGATCAGCCAACGTGGTGAACAAAATCTATCTTTATTCCATAACTAGTCCTCTCCCAACTATCGTTTTAAAAAATCCTCGTGTTTCTCTCAAACCAATAAACCCCAAAAAATTGCTGGCATACTGCACCCTCACAAAAGCCTTCATATCACCACCAAACAACTTATGTACCCTGCAGGAATTACCCAACTGACATTTCCTTCCCTGCACAATCTCAGCCACACATATAAAGCTATAGGACAATGATAAAACGCATGATCTGCAGTTCCTCCCAAGAGTACTTGTCAATTCAAGAATCAATACTAACTTACACCACTGCAAAAATCAAATAGTAAGAAGTCTGCAGAATATTTAAAAACAACAAATGATTAGGATGTCCAAAAATCTGTCACTCGTAGAACAATTATACTCAAACGCAAAAATTAAAACTACTGTAGAATGTTCAATATGCACAACCAATGGCATACAAGAAAGAAAGGGCAGAAATAAACACAAGATACTCAGAAGTTCCAGCATTTTGACCCGGAAGTATTCAATTTTCTCTCTAGCATCCAATATTTCTTTCTCCAGTTCTTCGACCTGCAAAGAACAAATGGAATTGCATCAAAGGGTGAGGAAAGACAAGTTGAGATTGGAACAAAACCGCAATAAAGTATAATGAATGCTTATCAAAAAGAAAGTATAATGAATGCCATGCACTAAAAACATGTGAAGTGCCAATCATTACAATTGCTAATATAAAAGAACTGATCATAAACTTCAAAACCTGAACAGCCTCCCTACTTAAACTTGATCAAAATCTTCTCTACGGAAATGAGCGATATTAAGAACAAAGTAAAACCCACAATCACAAGAATTCCAAGTCTTTGGGATATTTGTTATGATTTGACACTTGTCAAGAAGTAACATGCACACATAACTTTCCTGCTCAAGCTGAAAAAATTGGGGAAACATTAAAGTTCTAAGTACCTTTTTTATCAGCTTTGGTTGCTTCTTTGAACTTTGAGTTCAGTGAGTTAACCTCCTCTGTACTCAGTTGATTTACAAGATGTTTCTCCAATTCTGGTACTCTAGGTTTCTGCTGAATGGCCTGCTGCTTTTCCTCAGCATGAGAAAGAGCAACTGGCTTCGGTGGCCTTCCTCCAGCTGGGGTTGCCATGTGCCGAGCACCAGGACCAGGCATCGGTTGCTGTTGTTGAAAGCCTTTCAAAGTGAAAAATAAGAAACTATTCTCCATCAAAGAAAGACATATGGTTTTTGAAAAAGAAAAAAAAAAAAGTAATTTGTTTTATGGATGAATGCCAGATGCAGGTCTCCAGAATACATTGCCAGCAGTGAAGTAATTATTTCCAGGTTGAAAAATATTGGTTATATCAAACGCGTCATGCAAAGAATGAACATCCAGCAGCAAAGCATCTCGCAGAAAAATATGCTTCATCTAGACTGTTACGTTCAGGAATTCAAGCTAAATGCCACCAACTAAACATTGTCAGTCATCCACCACCCAGAAGAGGAAACATAAACAACTTTAACTCCGGGATAAATCAAACATAACATTCCTTGGTAGCACTGCTGGAAGAGGGCGTCCCTCCCTAAACCGCTCCATAAAAGATCATGTGGCATGATGGGTAGTAATTCTATCAATCTGGACTGCACATTCAGACATGACTCAATTTAATAGTACTTATGGATGATTGTGTGTCAATTGGCCAGCAAAATATTACTCCCAATTACAAATAAAATTTTATATCTACAAAATATTTTAGGCATCAAGTAAGTTTTTACATCAAAATACAAACACATCATGCAAAGAATGACAATCCAGTGGCAAAGCAAGAAAAATATGCTTGATCTAGCCTGCTATGTTCAGGAATTCAAGCTAAATGCCACCAACTAAACATTGTCAATCATCCACCACCCAGAAGAGGAAGAACAAACAACTTCAACTCCGGGATAGGGATAGTATAAGTTTTGCAAAGATGCATCAGTTCAGTTACATTACAACTCCATTATTGTAATGTAATAAACAATCCTAGGACAATCCTTGGGTCATATAACACATTTCTAAAGTCTGCTTACCACATAAGGTCGAACGGACACATCAGAAGTAAATTAATGACCTGATAACATAACTCTCTCAACCTCACTATCTGTAGTATAAATCCTTCATCTACTTATTTTCTACCATTTTAACATCAATTCCGCATTTATAATTATACCAACACGAAATAAAAATCTCAGCTTAGATCAGAGAATTACGACATCCCGATCTCGCATTAACTACTTCAACTACAATTAGACTAGAAATTCAAAATCAATTGATTTGGAACACATTTCCACCAGCATCAAATCCCGATCAACCACTATAATTACACAAATATACTCATACACACTACAATACTCATCCAATTATACATATATATATATGTATATATACAAGCACATACATATATATAGAAAGAGAGTACCTGCGCAAAAACATGTTTGGTTGACCGGAGCCCTGGAAGACAGCGACGGCTTCATTGCCACTAATCCGGCCGGTCCAAACCCGTTCGTCGGAAATACGCATCGAAGAGATCCACATTCGCCGATTGGTTCTGCGCCGACGCCATCGCCACCGTCGGATTGCAATTCGCCGAAGATCAGACCATGGAATCAATCGAGAGGAGCGCCGGGAAGAATCAGAAAACCACGAATTCGGAGGATCAAGATTTCGATGCCTTAGAAAACAAGGACGTACAACGAGGATTTGGTTGCCCTTCTTCTCCGATTAGGAGGATAATCTGAAGACAGACGGAGACACAGAACGATGGTCGTTAATCGATTTGAGAGCTACTAAACCCATCATTATCCTATTTTCCCGGCCACATTTTAATAAAAACTTCAAAGACATGTATACCCTTCTAGGAAAAGACTTTTAAATCCCTACATGTTTCTCTTCCCCACTCTCTCCCTTCCCCATTCTCTCTCTTCTCCGCTTCTCCACCAACCGTTACGTTGTTTCTTCCCATCTCTATCTCAGAAACTAGTCTCAAATCATTCGAATCTCTCCCTCTCTTTCAACCTCCCTCTCTCTTCCCCAACCCAAATCTTATGTCACCTACAATCCAAATTGCATCACTGAAATAGGGAATCTCTCCTCACCCAATATCCCTTTTTACCCTCTTTGTCTATTTATGATTTCTATTTGCTTCCATTGTCAATTTTGTATTCTAATTAATTTTTGAATTAATCAATTTTTGAGCTAGGGTTCATTTTTATTTGAATAAAACAAGATTGGTTGTATTCGAATCTGACTCCAACAAAACCAATGACTGTGGCTTTCAAGGTTGTAAATTTTCAACCCTTTTAATTTTTCACAAGATAAGTTAATTTCTGGGTTTGTTCAGAGATTTGCAATCTTGATTTTGGTGTAAAGTTACTCATTGAAGGTACGGTGTCTAGAGGTTATTTGGGTAGGGAAATAAAATGTTAAGTTTTTAATTTTTTACGGTGGGTAGGATAATAAGGTTGGTGGGAAAATAGAATAATGGAAAGGGTTTAACATTACTCATCGATTTTTCCTTCTGATTTTTTGTGACAAAAATGGTACTGTATTGCTGTGATATTTCAAAACTGCCACTGGCTCTAATGAGCCCGGCCCATTTAGTATTACCAACCAGTTCTCAATGATGAAAATTGAGCTCAACCAAAAATGAAGGTTGATGATTAGATCTGATGATGGCCTTGTTGGGAGGACCATTTCCAAGGGAGAATGCCAGCCGGACTTGCCCCAAAAGCAAGTTCAGCAAGACTCACCCACCACGTATATCTGACTTCAATTGTTAGTGTTCCTTACGTCCCACTGTTAATATAAGTTATATAGGTTAAGAAAATTATAATTTATATTTATATTTCTTAAGAAAACAATCTTTGCATTTGTTGTTTCTTGTCATACAATTTATTAATTTAATAGTTTTTCATTCAATTGGTATTCTGAGTAAATACACAACCAGTAACGAAAGAAAAGTACCTTGCTTCCCAATTTCTACTTCTCTGTCTTTGCTTAGTTTAGCACCTAAAGAGAGAGATTGAGTGTATCATGATCTCTAACTTGGGCCACGGCACGTAATTTTAGGCAAAGTTCTGAACTCTCTTATAATATCTTGATAGCCTCAAAAATAGACATGGCAAATCAACATCTTAGATTATTAATGGGTAATTGTTAAGATCCATTTAGTTTAATTTAACTTCAATATAACGTTTGATTTCATCATAATATGAAGGTGAGATTGGTAGTAGTGATGATCATGTATACCTTATTATGGTGAAATCAAACTAAATAAGTTTTAGACTCTTAATTGTTACCCATTAATAATCTAATAGGTTAATTTGTCACTTGTGCTAAAAAAGACAATTACAAATGACAATTTCCAACCATGAAGAACTATATTTCTAGCCCTCTATGATTTTGTAGTGTGAAATTCACTTGCTTTTATTTTTTTATGAATTATAAAAGGTACTCAATCAGAAGTGCTTGGAAATTTCATAAAAGAAATTGGTCAATAATTGGCTTGTTTGGACTAGGTGTTTGGATTATCTTATGCATCGCTTGTAGCTTGGTCTTGGCTTGTTGGCTTAATATCGTAGGTCTGGCATTGGCTTATATGTTTGACATTGCAAATTTGTAGGCTTGATATTTGCTTGTATGCGTCACAAGGGCTAGCAGACTTTCTTATAAAACAAGTACAATAACTTGGCATATGTGAATGTCATGAATTTTCTTATGATATATAGCGAGTATAATTTAGCATTTGGTTTGTGAAGCAGGCACAATGGATTGAGAAAAGGTCAGTTTGTAATGATATATGGTCACTATGGAATTGGAAAATGGTGGTTAGTAACGGTGATAGTTGTTATGGTAGGTGAGGAGTATTCTTGTACTTGGTGATTTGCTTGGATAGGATGGGATGGCACGATCTATTTTGCTTGGGTTGATTTTTTGGCTTCAATGGTTTGTATGGTATGTTGTAATTCGTCATGCCTCATTCTTAGCTTGTCATGTTTCATGGGCATTATTTGAACCATTGAGAAGCCTGAATGACTCTTTGTGATTTTATTTTGGCTTTGACCTGGTATGATGCATGGATTATGTTTGAACCCTTAAGCGGCTTGCTTGACAAGTTGTTATTATGTTTTTGGCTTGCCGTGAAGCACCGGCAAAGCTACAGAGACACAAGGAGGTGCGGCCGCACCTCCTATCGCCGGAAATCAAGCCTACGAGCGATTAGCCACCCTTTTGGTCTGTCGAAAAACCTACAACAAGCATCCCTAACTCTCTACTGATGCGAAGCCTGCGTGTAGCGGGGTGTTTTTTTTTATTTATTTTTTTTTAAACACCTTAGCTAACATGATGTGGTTCTAAACTTAGGGAAAAAAAAATTAACATACGTTGAATGGCGTTGTTTTGTTTTATAAATTTATATAACATAAGCTAAACGACATCGTTTTTCTTTATAAAAATTAAAAAAATAAAATAAAATAAAAAACATAAGGGACCACTCGTCCCCCATTAACCAATTCTTCCATGATTTTGTAGGGTGAAATTCACTTTTTTTTTCTTTTTCCTTAGGAATTATAAGATGGTACTCAATCAAAAGTGTTTGAAATTTCTTTGAAAGTGTGTGAATTTTTTTTGAAATAAATTGGTCATTAGGAAAATTCAAAACTTTGTATGTAAAACGTAGGGGTGGTTCGGTATGGGATACCGAACTGAAAAAGTTCGGGATAAGATTTTAGCAACCGAAACCGATCCGAAATTTTGCCTTTCCCGAATTTCGGTATTCCCGAATGTTTTTCGGTTTTTCGGTACGGTTCGGGACGCAGCCAACACCAGCAATCTCCAATGGCTTCTTCACAAGCCTCCTCCTAAGAGATCTTAATACCATTCTCAGAAAGCAACGACCACGGCGACGACTCCAAATCCACCTAGCTCCCAACCCCACACCCACTCCTCTCCACAATCACATCTTCTCATGCCATTTCTGCACAAATCCTTTAGAACCCACATGCAAAAATCCAATCTTTTTCTTCGAGCACGGCGGCGACTCTGAGTCCACCTCGCTCCCAACCCCACACGGCCATACCCACTCCTCCTCACAATCACATGTTCTTATGCCATTTCTGCACAAATACTTCAGAACCCACATGCAAAAATCCAATCTTTTTCTCTCGAGCTTCAGTGATCATCAAATGGAATTATTTGTTGTGGGTTATGAATCGTGCATGCGCAGCGCTGAGGATTCATAACCCAGAGACGAGAGAGCTTCAGAGAGGATAGAGAGAGAAATGGGTCGAGGCCAGAGACGAGAGAGCTTCTTCCTATCTCTGCTTCCCAACACGAAGACTGCTTCTCTCTCTGCCTCAAGAATCAAGATTCAAAACCAAAACAAAAGCTTTGTGCTTTTAGTTTCCAAAAAAGCTTTGTGCTTTTATCCCAAACCGACAAGGCATCACCATTACATGCCTTTTCCATATTATTTTATTTTTGTTCCTTTGCTAGTGGAACCGAAAGGCTCTGCTTTTTATTTTATTTTTTCATTGTTCTTTGCAGATGTAGCGCTGGAAAGTAGGAACCAAAAACAAAAGAAGATTTCGGGACTTCGGGAATACTGAAGAAAAGAAATCTGGAAACCAATTCCATACCGAATATTTCGGTATTTTTTGGTATGGGATTACCAAAGTTTGGGATAGTTTCGGTTTGGGATTTTTCAGTTTGGGTTTGGGATTTTTTCGGTTTGGTTTGGGATTTTCGGGAATTTTTTCCAGCCCTTAATGTCAATTGAATGAGAAAGAGTTTTTCCTCCCTTTTTTTTTTTTTTTTTTTTTTTTTTTTTTTACGTACAAGGATATTTTACACTAATCTATATACTAAGGGAATGCGGGAGAGTATGAATTCAAAATATAGTGAGTTGAAGAAAAATACTCTAACTATAAGGGCAATCCACCAATTGTTTTTCTCATAATCAGGCTAAACTCTAATCACCGAAGCCAATTTAGGAGGTGTGTGTTTTCTTTCTATCTCAAGGCTCGCTTGTTCATTTAAAAACATTTTAGTTTGCCTTTATCTTTAATTGAAGAGTCGTGTACATTTGGTATGCTACTGTAACATCTTAAACTAATAATGAACTACGAAACATAGGTGCTACAGGTGTAGGTTAGTTACTTTTGTTAAGGTTAAATTTTATTGGATGGTCTGTTGATCAAAGCTGCAATCAGTGGATGGAAAATAGAAATTTGAGGGGTGATTTGTGAGTTGTGTCAGCTTTAATGAAAGTTATGAACTGACGTTGATGTGCCCTTAATTTGTCTTTCTTTATATGCATGAATGCATTGAATTTTTGTTCGCGGAAGATCAGGTGCTAGAGTTGGGTAATTTCATTTCTCCTATTTTTTTCATTCAACATCTCCGTTGGATTGTCCGGAGCATTTTAGAACTTTTGTAATTTTGTGCAAGTCAATTCAACTAGTACAATTGCTGGACTCAAAACTGATTGTCTCTGCGGGCAACTACTCTCTCGTCCCTTGCTTGCTTCCAAATTTCTACCTCTGTCTTTTGCTTAGTTTAGTGCCTAAATAGATAGAGAGAGATGGTGGGGGGCCAAGCTCATAATTTTAGGCGGAGTTATGGACTTTTTTATGACCTCTAGATCGCTTTGGTAATAGATGTGGATTACTAATTTGCTGGATTATTAATGAACAACTATTAAAACCCGTTTAGTTTGATTTCATTATAATATGGTGGTGAGATTGGTACTGATAATGATTGTGTATTACCTTATCGTAAAATCAAACTATATACGTCTGAGACTCTTAATGATTACGCATTAATAATTTAATAAATCGATTTGCCACCTAGAAAGACAATTCCAAAGTCTTAGGCTATTTGCATTGGTGAACAACTACATTCTTAGCCCTTCATGATTTTGTAGTGTGAAATTCACTTTTTTTTTTTTTTTCTATTGAGAAGTTATAGAAATGTACTCAATCAAACCTGCTTGAAAATTTCTTGAAAAAAATTGGTCACTAACTAACTAACAGCGAAAATTCAAAACTGTGTACGTAAAACGCGTAAACGGAGGCCCCATTCATGT